GTAAGTGTTTATCGGGTAATTTTCCTTACCGGATGAACAGGGCAAAGGTCAAAAATCTTACGTGATAAGAACAACGATAAAGATGGAGAGTCTTACTCGGTAAGTGAAGGTGACGACTCTTACCCGAGTAAGTGTTTATTGGGTAAATTGTTGCATATGATACCATTTTGATGTATTACAATCTTACCCGATAAAATAAATTATAGTGTTAGCTCCTAAGGATAAGCACTTACCGGGTAAGTATTTTGGTAAACGGCCCCTAATACAAAATTTCAATAATCTAAACATACAATGAACTTAAAATGACATTAAAATAAAATTACACTAAATTGTTGAAAAACTAATACCATGTATTGTTTTTATTTTTTGCGCATCATATTTGGATAAGCATTCTTTTTGTTGTCATACCATAGTGGTTTTTTAGATTATTGTATTCTCATAAATAGAGAGAGAGAGGACGTTTCAAACACGACCCATTATACTTATACAACTAATGTAACTCAATCAATTGAGATATTAATGAAAATGATGAGAGTTCATTTATTATGATTTGAATATTTATGGGAGATGATTACCGTTCATTAATTATGATTAATACTTTATATTATGAAACAATCTAAACTTTTATGAAATCACATATTCATCAAATTAAATGGATGGTTGAGATTGAGTTGTATTGGTTATACAAATGTAAAACATTGCATAATAACCCACCTCTCTCTCTCTATATATATATATATATGTGTGTGTGTGTGTGTGTGTAGGTAGAGGTTCAAACGATAACACATTTATTTTATGAGAACGCGAGAACACTCTTATCACATGTGATAATACGCTTGAGGGGACCTGGTGGTATGCGGAAGACGTGTTCTACGACTTAAGTCATGCCAAAGGTTGTCTGCGTTTATGATTTAGCATCACATGTGATGATCTTGATGGATTATACTATTATATCAACAGCACCCTTATCACACGTGATAATACATGTGAGGGGGCTTAGTGGTGTAAGGGCGATTTGGCCCACAACCAAGATCGCGCCAAAAATCGTCCGCGTCTCTGATTTAGTATAACATGTGTATCATATGTGATGGAATAATAGTATCACATGTGATTGTCCATAGTAAAAGGGTGTCGCGTTCTCGTAAAATGAAGGTGTTCTCGTTTGAACTCTTCCATATATATATATATATATATATATATATATATATATAGACTTGGGATCATGTGAGACCAAGGTTTTTTCGTGAGACACGTAAGACCAATTCTCAACCTTAGTATTAGATCTACAATATGACAATCTAAACATTCATAAACGCCACGAGACTTCTCAATAATCACAAAATTGACACCGTGCAACTTTAGACCATTAGATCATTAGMTTATAAAGTTGATCAATGAACATAAATTGGTCTTACGGGTCTCACAAAAAACTTTTGGTCTCACGTGAACCTAACCATATATATATATATATATATATAGAGAGAGAGAGAGAGAGAGAGAGAGACAGAGAAAGAGAGAGAGAGAGAGAGAGAGAGGGAAGATCAAATGTTAACCAACAATTTTGTGTTAACTTTGCAAACCATGTCAACCAATCAAATTCCATTCTTCTAGTAGGTTTCTATCATGTTCACAGTGTAATTACAAGGGTAATTCAGTAAATTGATTTGCTATGTAACTCTCAAACAATTAATGGGGAGCTACAAATCATAAAATCTCAAAAAATATGCATTTATAATACTAATATTTTTATTTTTTTAAATCTTGATCTTACATGTTCATTGTTTTATGAGTTTTTTATTCGTATAGGAAACACGGTATTAAAATTCTCAGTATCGCTCAAACTAATATGGATAAACGCAATGGAAAAGAAATTGACAACAGTGAGAAGATTAAAATGGTTTATGATGACAATCGGAATTCGAGTTCGGGAAGTAAATAAATTAACCAAAGCGAATGTCTTGATAATAGATTAATATTTTTTTAGACTCGTTCTAATCGAAATTATGTTCATTATGATGTATTGTGTTTTTTGTAATTCATTTTGCCTTGATAGCTTTTTTCTTTAATTGCACCACGTGTTCATAGCATAGTGGTTATGTTCATATATGTTCATATTACTCGTCTCATAGTCATTTATGGTTAATCTAACTCGCACCAAATAAATCTTTACACAATTTGTTCATATATGTTCATGTCAATTATTTTAGTCTATGAACAGCTTGTAAATTCGAACCAAATAGATCTCACATGTTCTTCATTTATGTTCATGTTTATATATGTTCACATTAATCATCTCATGGTCATTAATGATTGCTCTAACTCACACCAAATAAATCTATTTTCTGGTTGTTGCAGTTGATTACTCCAGTTATACAATATTAATGTTCATTGATTTTACTAAATATGATGGTATCAACAGGTGTTCACATACTTACACCCTCCGAATATGAAACGGAGTACGATGTCGGAGAGTGTTAAAATGGAAGCAAGTATTTTATCCCCTACGTTGATGATGAGCTTAAACCAAAGATTAACGCACAATTCGTATCGATAAATGAAGCGGAAAAGATGTACAGGACGTACGAGGACAATGCCGGGTCTGATGTTCGTCTTCATGCCAAAAAAAAAAACAAGAACGGAGACATACAAACAAGATGGTTTGTATGTAGTAGGGAGGGAATACCAAATAAATAGTATTTTGATTCTATGTCTCTTCGGTCTGGCGAGAGGAGATACCATAATACGAACCTTAAACGATGTGGATGCAATGCATGTATAAAACTCCATTTGACAAAGGATCGCTCATAAATGTATTCATAATGAAGAAACTATTATTCACAAGCTGTTCATACCTGTTTTTTTTATTTCCTTTCATGTAGCAGCTTTTCTTATTATGTTCATATTGTGTTCATAAATACTATGCAGTCAAGTTTATATATATGTCAATTTTTTGTTCGTATTTGATGCAATGGTTCATATATATATATATATATATATATATATATATATATATATATAGAGGACGTTCAAATGAAAACCACTCAATTTGTATAAACCGTGAAAACTACATTCAACCAATCATAATTTTTCATTTTGTTCATTTTTTTGTAATTATGAGAGGTTGATTAACCATTTTTATTGTGAAGGGTGTTAATCATGGATATTATCATCTTCATTATTTTAATTTTAGAGAAATACATGAAACAGTTTCTTTAAAATTTCATTAAATATTATATGAAACAATTTCATAACCATATATGAAACAAATTCATCAAAAAAAAGTATTATATGAAACAATTTCACAAGATTAAACAATTTCATGAAAAAATTTTCATAAGATTAAACAATGAAATCGACGTATGAGGGTGGTTTGTACGGTTTGTACAAATGAGGGTGGTTTTCATTTGATCGCTCATCTATATACATATATAGGGTATATTTCAAATACAACTATGTCCATTTGTACAACCAATGCAACCCTATCAATTGAGCTATTTATAGAAATGATAAGAGTTCATTTATTATGATTTTAATATTTATGAAAGATGACTATAATTGATTAATTATGATCAATACTTTATATTAGGAAACAATCAAAACTTTTATAAAATCACATATTCATCAAATTAAATGAATGGTTGAGATTAAGTTGTACAAATATAAAAGGTTGCGTTATAACTCACCTATATATATATATATATATATAAGTCTGTATATATATCTATTTATTTATGATTTCCAATTCTCTTGTATGAACTCTAAATTTGTCCTTTTTTTTTCCGTCCACGCTACACCATTCGTCTCGAATTTTGTCAAAACATTTGTCTTTTCTTTGTTCCAATTGGCGGAACTTGTACTTTATTGTCGTCGACATTGGTCGATGCTTGTATGGGCTGTGGGCATCAATGATAATTATAAGTCCCTGATGTCGATGTTTTTGTTCGTTTTGTAGAAAAATCAATAGAGCTCCCTGTATTTTAATTGCTTGTTAATTATGTGAGGAATGATAAATCATACGACCATTTCCCATCACTTGTCGTCATATCACCAACTTGGAATAAATTTTTGGTTGACAATGAGACTGCAAGGCATGTTTCTCTTTCAGTGAGTAAACTACATGCCATAGTTGTTGTAGTCATTGTTCTAAAAATCAGCAGAGGCGTATATAATATTATATACTTCAAACCTAATCATAGGTGAGAAGGGTGTGTGATTTATTTGTTGCATTTGTCGTATATAAATATTATATACTTAAAAAAAACAAGCAGAGGCGTAGGCCTCAAGGCGCAACGTCTATGACACATCGTCTTTTACTTGTTGATACCTCTACACGTGGATGTGTTTTATTTCATTTAATAAATCACTAAAATAGTCATATAACCCTAATATCATATTTTTATCAGAAACAAAAATGGCAGCTCTCTTTTAAACCTTGTCCTTGTTAGGTTGTCTAACTTTGTCCTAACAACTTATAGTAACAACGTTAGATCACAAAACACCAATTTTTTGTCGTATAAATTTAAAGTCTCATTAAATAATCTATTGGGACGCTCTAAAAGACAAATTATATTGTAGCGTGCGACTAGGTGACCTACCCTAAGAGATTACAGCACGAGCTTGAGGTCACAAAAGAGTGACTACATACACCGGCTGGGGTGCAAGTATCGTACCGAAACATATATGCACGAATCCGTATAATTACTTTTACAAGTGATCATATCAATACAATCTCAAAAAACCTCCAAAGTTATTACAAATGTTACTGTAACAAACATTAATTAATTCTACATTAAATTACTTTTGCAAGTGATGAGTACCATAAAAGTTTCAAAGAGGCCATTAAGCTCAAGGATTTGTGTTCATTCAACCAAACAATCACTTATAAACCTTTAAACTGTCTATATATATGAATATAATATATATATATATATATGTATGTGTATATATATATATATATATATATATGTATGTATATAATGTATATACACAATAATTGTTACATCAATGAAAGATTGGGTAGTCATGTCCGGATGACATTTTTATACAGGAGATACCTTATAGTATCCATCAAATTACGTCTAAGTACGAGTGAAATGATATTCTGGACCTCCATTTTTGCACAAACTCTGCAAATTACAGAGATCATAAGGGCTAAAGCCAAACTGCTCCCATTAATAATAAAAATACCACCAAATCTATCAAGCTTCAAGGCTTTGGTCATTGTAGAATTTTGGGGTGGAATAGAAAGCCGATTCTCAAACCACTTTTTCTCCAAACCTGCTAGACTTCCGTCTAATCTCATTCGGGCGATTTCTTTCGACACCTCTCCTACCAATGGCGAACCTTTTTGGAAGATCTGAATAATATATGTGTCAACCAGAGGTGTATATGACAAAAGAAAACACACTTATAGCTCATATCATACAAGGATCACCCCAGAAAAAAGATGTATATATATATATATATATATATATGTAAAAATGTTCAGGGGATGGGAGAGGAAAAAAGGGGTACTTACAAAGCCAAAACCAGACGTGATAGGTTGAGAGGAAACCAAGGAATAATCGCCTGATGAGTACTTGCCAAGAAACATCTTGATGTAAGGAATCTCATCAACAATGGCATCAGCTTCACCATCTTCTGATAATGCATGGGCATAATCCTCATATGAGTAGTATGGCCTATTATTATGATCTTCAAAGTGCAAATTGCTGATTGTCACTCCCCTTATAAAAGAGCCTCCATGAAACCCCACGATTCGCCCCTTTGATGCCAATTCGAATTGCTCAACTGTCAACAGTGAAGACAGTGTTGCTGTGTAGCTTGTGATCAAGATAAGCACCACCAGTAACCAAACGAACATTACAAATCTCGATAGATTGCTTGACAACTTCTCTTCTACATGAATACAAACACAAAAAACTACTCTGAGATCTTGATTAAATTTTATTTCAGATAACAAAAGCATAATATAGAGAAAGAGGGAGAACTTTGAGCGAAAAAGATAGACAATAGGATGAGCCACAAGATTGTTCCAATTCGTTGAGCTTGTGAACATTCAGATTCCTGATTCATGCATTCAATTGCCCAAACCACAAAGCCAGTTGCCACAAGAGAAGCAATAAAAGTTAGCCATAAACCCATGTCCAGCGGCTTCAAGAAGAACCACATGTCTTTTTTCTTTATTCTTGCAAGTGTTCCTACACCCAAGTCGGTATAAGTTGCTGTATAGTCAACAAGCTCAGATCTGTTGGCCAAGATTGTTGAATCACCCACGACTGCATCAAGTTCCTGTCCAGAAACAAAACCATACATGATACATTACAAGTAACTTATACATTTCGCTTTATATTTACAGTCAGAGAAACAAAATATACCATATTATTGACCTTCTGTACAATATCATCGTAAGTGGCATTGTCAAATGCAATGAATATGTAAGGTAATGCACCAATGCAAGTATTGAATACATCTATAGAGAACCCAGTGGCTGTAGTAACATTTTTCTCGACATCATGCTCTACATCCACGAAGTACTTAAAGTTTCTTATCTTTAGAACACCGATTTTTAATTTTTTACCAGGAACTGTTTGCAACAATACCCGACCTTTTGGAACAGTTATAGACCCTCCTGGCCAGATAACAGCTTCATTATGCATACTAGAATGTCTATGACCGCTGTTAATCAGGGGGTATGCTTTCTTGATACCCTCTGATGATGTCCAATATCCTACTCGCTTCTCACCATAGTCGATGGCATTCATAATCTCATATCCATTGGAGATAACTCTTCCTTCACTAAGTTGAAACTCACCACTTATGCCCTTAAATCTGATTTTCAAGACCTCGTTTAAAAGGAAAGGATCATTTTCTTCAACTTTCTCAACAGACTCCGCAAGTGCCCAGATTGTATCATATGCCCGTAAAGCAAGCACAGGTATCTCTTTTGTTACTGATGTAGGATACTTTCTGTAAAAGAAATTATGCCATCTTGCTGTTAAGTTATGCAGCCTCCTTGATGCTGGAACATAAGACCTAAAACCTAGTGCCCCTTGTATTGACTCAATAACTTCAAAATCTGTTGATCGCAAGAGGTCAACTGTTTTTTCAGTTAAAATCCATGCATATTCTTCCCTCATCATTCCTAACCTTTTTGCATTTAGGAAAACTCTATTTGCAAGTGAAGGTGACATATGTACGATAATTATAGTTGTCTGAAAAGTCATGAGCTTATGCAATTGCTCAGTTATTTCATCACATGTGGCCAAGAGAGAAATGGCACTTCTGTGAGTGATCTTGATGCTTTTATCCAAGAGTGACTCAATCAGATAAGGTAAGATCTCCCTTCCATCATCGGTGTCTTCATAAATGAAAATAACATCCCTCCATTTGTATGATTCCACAACGGCAGCAACGCATTTGGCCATGGTGGATTCATCGTCTTTGATATGTAACAAGTAAGGGTATTCCACTGAAGATGGAGCAGCAAGAGAAAATATAGGAACTTTAGCTCTATCAGCATACAAAGATAATAACTTGGGTTGAAGATGCGTTTCTGGGCCTATGATGGCTTTCACCTTCACTTTCCTCAGAAGATGATCTACTGCTTGATCAGGCAAGTAAAAAAGAAACAAATTTCAAGAAAAAGGATATATCTTCATTGAATTTAAACTATAATATGTATGTATATATCAAAATGAGAGTTGAAGGAAATACATTAAGATATATATACCAGCTGAAAGAGCTTTTAATGGATCTTTCTTGGAGTCCCTTGTGTGAAGAACTATCCTGGTTCTGTAGCTATGATTAAGAGCATAAAAATCAGATATGGCCATGCTAATGCACATGTGAATGGACTTCCCTATCCATGACTCCGTATCTAGAACAATCCCCATGCCTACTAAGGTTTCATTATTTATGTTAATGGAGTGCGATAATAATTGATGATTTAAAATACAGAAGAGTAGTACAAGGAAAAGAATGATCTTGTTGAACACCATCCAATCCTTGCAGATGGGTGCTGAATCTTGCCTTCTTCTGAATTACTTGTAAGTAAGGGCCAACTGAATATAGCAACAGCATCCACAATGGTTGGTTATTAAAATAAAACAATATAATAAATAAAATTATTAAAACATAAGAATAGAAAACATTAATTTAAAATATGTGGGGGCCACATTCAGTATTAAATTTCAAATTGAGCATAATCCTAAGTGTCGACCACGACATTGACTTTGAAATTTGTTTATGAAACCAAAACTTGATCCATATTCAACCACATTACAATTTTGTAATTAATTTGACTAGCAACACGACATACGTATCGTTTCTTTTAAATCTCTGACAAAATATCATTTTTGATCTGTAGGTTAGAGTTTACAAAACCGGAAAATGGGGTATTTACCTTAGGATTGGCGGGGGGGCTGTTTGTTTTGCGAAATTCAAATGAATTTGATGGAATTGGAAATGACAAATTCTTTTAACTAAATTTCAATTCATTTATTAGGTTCATTTCTTGAAATGGATAGAATCTTTCAAATTTCATTGAATTCCATTAATGAATTCATCATTTCTTGGCATAATGGAAGGAATTGAATTTCATTCCATCACCACCCACCATGACCATGCTACCATTGTTTGTCATGCCCTATCCCTAACCCCACCACCACCACACCGCTACGTATTAATATGGATTAAAGTATTATAAGTGATGGATCAAAGAATATACGTATGACTTTGAAGGGCAATTATGAAAAATAAAAGAAATCACAGGGTCATCTTTAAAACAACAACAATCTAGAAGGACTGTTTTAGAATTTTTCTTCATTTAAATATAACATTTTTAGGTTTAACCTTCATTTTTGTTCCTTTTTTTTTTTATATAGATTTAGGAATTGTCTTTCATTTGTTTGTATTTTCTTCTTCCCTTGAACAGATCAGATGGAGATTTGATGAAGATGATAAATTATGAAGTTGAAGCCTTTTAGATTCTCATTGTATTCTTCTCTTTTATCATTTTATTTTATGTTTTTAGTTGAATTTAGTTCAATTGTTCTTAATTAAATGTTCGTTTTATTAAAATGCTTCTTTCTCAATGTTTGTCTCGTAAGAAAGTAGGTGCAAAATCTTTTCTCTCACCTTCAGAAAAATAAAGCATAGACATTTCGTTTATCATTAGAATTTCCTGAAAGGGAACTATCTCAGTTTCATATCATATAGAAATTTAATGTAGAATTTTTGAAATTGTCATTTTAGAAAGAAAAAAAATTCCAACTCGATAGAGGGTTAAAGTATTTTACACAACACACACTCATTGTTGGTCATGGAATATAATGACTAGCACAATATGTGTTTGTAGAAGGTGAATGAATACAAGCACAATAAATTTTTCACTCTTAATATTGTATGTTTATTGAAAACAAAAAACTACAGATATGTTGCGGAAACTAGGAAGATAAGACCTGATCCTATAAACTATCTGATTGTTGACAAATTTGTTAACAACCGAAAGAGTGAGAGAAGAATGTACTCTTTCAGATATAAAGTACTAAGATGGTCCTTCAGATGGTTGTTGTTGACTTGCCTAAGAAACTATCGCTCGGAATTCATATAAAAAACGGGTAAGTTGCAACAAATGAGAAAGATACTCTTCTATAGTCACCATTACAGTAAATGTTGTTGTCCAAACCCATGTTTTTATCTAATTTACTGATTAATGCATGATTATACCCCTCATTTCAACCTTTTGAAGTTGATGTAGACATTTGTTAAGTGCACCCATCCTTTTTATATAGAGGGAACAATATAGGAAATATGATATTAATAAAATAGTATTTTTAGAACTTATTTTGTCTAATATGTCAAGCATGTTCCCATACCAAGATGAGATTTGGTAGAGTTGGTGACCATAACTTGTTGGATAAGTTTGCACTCCAATTTCGAAATTGCAAGAAGCAGTATTTGTTAGATTATTTTTTACTTCATCGTGTATTGATCTTCTTTCGTCTAAATGGCAATCCAATCTGCTATAGTGACGATCCTGACTTTACTTCAATGAGTCTTCGATTTCGTTGAAATTTTTTGTTCTTGGACCAATATAGATAGTTACATAACTTTAATATGACACCCCGAAATGGGGTAAACAAATATATATGAAAAAAAGTATTGGACCAAAAATGTAAAGATAAACATGATAAGGGGCCAATAATGCCATTTAAGGAAAGCGAGAAATGAAGAAAGGAATTTATGTTCAATCAAATCAAAAATGAAAGAAAGTATCATAACATGGATGAAAGTGTAATATTGGGCAAAACATTGAAGCCAAGGGGGGGATATCATTACCTAATAGTTCAAAGGCTATGTCAGACATCAACTAGCCCAAACTAGAGGACCTGTTATGTAAATAGATCAAATATGTGTTTTTCAAATTTCGAAAGGGAGCATTCTCTTAAATATTTGCTATTGGTTATATTGGTCAACTATTAAGACAAAAAATTTGTATAAGTGAAGATAACCGTTAGAGCACATTTGGGTTTAAGAAGATCGAGATTTGATCGAATTTTGAGAATGAAATAGGAGGTCGAAGTTCGGGGTCAAAAAGCTTATTGACGATTGGAGTTCTTTATATGCTTAGCTTTATATTTCAGCCTTCTATCGAATAAACGAATCATCAAAACGACGAACAAACGAATCATCAAATCGACGAACAAACGAGCTCGAACGGACTGAAAACCGGGTTCGGGTTCGGGCATGGGACGAATATCCTATGGAGCATGTCATGTGACTTGGGCTTGGATCCGGATTAGACTAAGGGATCGTTTATCAACTCTTATCAGGTAAGTGTTCGCCAGTAAGAGTGCTGACCCTGGCAACGTTCTCCGGGTAAGAGTGTTTACCAAATGTTTTTGGTAAGTGCTTACCAACAAGAAAATGACCCTTATAGTCCTATTTGTAATTTTATGTTGAATAAAATATAATTGTTTTTGTTATTAATAGTTTAATGGAAGGAAAAAAACAAAATACATACTTTAAATAAATGTTTACCAATAAAAATAATACTATTTTACTCTTTTACATATGATTGATTGCCAAATAAGAAAACAAAAATACAATTTTCATACTTCTAATTAAACAACATAATATATTAATAGTTGTTCATACTTCAATACAAACGGAATATGAAACGTTAATATCAAAAAGAAATTGTTTGTTTTTCATCCTAGACAATAAAAATTAATTTGAAGCATTTGAAAACAGTTGAGTGGCAATATGATCTCGCGGATTAGCCATATATCCATTGTCTTGAGAAGCCCCCCCATTGTACTTCAACGACTTCTTGTCAATCTTTTCATTAACTCAAGATATCTCAAAAGGACTTAACCAAGTTGGACTTTTAAAAGGATCTTGTGTGATCCTTTTGCAACAAAAAGAAGTCTGTTTTTCTAACATCAAATAAGAGGTATTTATAAAGCAAGCAAATAAAAGATGAATGAATACCTTTCATCTCCCCAAATAAAAATAACTTGTAAAATTGGTACAACAAGGGCAGCACCAAGGATTCTAGCAATCACAACAGCATCAACAATCTGGTTTCTCTGTTGATTTATCTCAATAGAAACCACCACCACCAAATACTTTCTTCAGTCTTTTAAAATCTCAACACTTGATTTCTTATATTCTTGACTGAAATCCAAATAAGATCTATATCCAAACCCATCAGACTTCTCCCAAAAGCCAACACCGTGAGAGAGCAATCTTGTCATTAACTCAATATATCTCAAAAGGGCTTAACCAGATTGGACTTTTAAGAGGATTTTTGTGATCTTTTTGCACAAAATGCAACTATCTTTCTACTTTCCAACTGGTCGGGCCTCCCTTTATTGTATTATGTATGCAATTCCTTCTTTCAACCAGTAGGTAATACATATACAAAGAGAAATGGAAGAAGGTTTGTTGGATGAGTGTGCGCTAATCAACAAAAAAAAAAGTAATCAACAACAGTGTGTGTGTKTGTGTGTATGTGTGTGATACGCACTAAGTATTCAATGCTTAAGGCACCTTTTTATTCTCTTTTAGATAGGTTATCTTCTATTTATATCCCAACTTTGAGTCATTTTATCTCTTTTCTCTTATTTTTATGCTAAAGTGAATGTTGAACCTATTTTGGTGGATTTTAGTCTAAATTGAGCTTCTTTTGGACAGATTGAAACAGGTTGATGTTGTGGGAATGTGGCAGCATGACCTGATGGTAGAGAAAGAGGTGGATGAGACTTGGAGTTAACCGACAAGACCATGGATGACTTTTGAAAGGCTTCTAAAGTTGGAACAGTTGTGTATGATCAGATTAGCTGGAGCTTGTTAAGACTAATTTAGTTGTTTTTTAGATATTAGTTTACTTTATTGTACTTTCTAGTTTCTTTAGAATTAAAAGTGTGTGAAATGCCTATTTTGCCCTCACTCCATCTCTAGTATAAATAGAGATGTTGGGGGATGTTGAAGACACACCTTACACCTCACTCTTTACTTCATTGTTCATTTCTACTTTTCTCTCAAGTAGGTTGTTTCACTACTTGGAGAGCAAGTTTTCTTTTTAATATTAAGTAATCCTTTGGCTAGTTTCGAGTTCTTTAATCGCTTTATTTACTTACTCGTTCTTAATATTCCGTCTTTAATTTATTTACGCTTACTTGCATTTTATTTACGTCATTTATTTATTTACGCTTTCTGCATCCTTTACATTCCGTCGTTTACTTTTCGCATTTATTTTATGTCTTTATTTATCGCACTTATTATTTCTTGTCATTTACTTTTCGTCATGAGTAGCTAATTTTATTAGCTCGGGTGTATGACGAAAATGGTGAGTTTGTAAATCAAATATAGTCGACCCTTTCATGTAACAATGATGTTTTACTTTTTCATTTCAAGTTTAATAAAACCAATAACACTTCTTGACGAGTTGATCACTTCGGAAGTGTTAAAGTGTCATGGACTCTAAGCTGAGCTATAGATTGCACGTCAATTTGGATATGGGAAGTAG